ATACAGTATTATACAGTATTACTTAAAGTGTACACACACCTTAATTCAATAGCCTATATTTAAGTGAGGAGTGTAAATATTTTAAATTAGATCCCTTCTTTAATTTATAGAATCGATAAAGATATAAAAATTGGAAGACATATATATATAATATATATATATAAGAATGTGTTTATTTGTTTGTTCGTCATACATTTCTAGGCCATGTGACCAATACCTTAGATAATGTCGTACCTGCCACCCCAAAATATCTATTGGATTTCTGTAAATAAATTAATTTCTTTCTACATTCTATTTGCTGATTTACGCATAGTGTCATCTATTGACAAAATCTTTAACAAAATAATGAACTAAATATAATTCTTATAAAAAGATAAATATTCTACAAGTACCTTTCTTTAATGAAAGAATATTTTACGGGGATTTTACCTTGAATTTAAAGAGGGATTTTCTGCGCTATCAATACAATTTCTATAAAAAATTGAAGAAGGATCATCTAAAAAAATATATTTAAAAAAAAGGAAATTTAATGACATTTTTCACATTTAATCTTATCATAGAAAATTTTACAGCTTAATAAATAATAGTAATAAATTAGTGTAAATATAGATACGTGTATATAAAAGTAAATTTTATTAATATACAATTTTATTTATTAGTAAAAGAAAAATAATTTTAAAACCTTTCGGATGCAATATAATAACAAGAATCAAAGATTTAAAATTATAATTACCGCAAAGATCTCATTCTGTCCTGTATCTCGATCTGTGTTTACGTTTTGATGTTTAAAGTCATGACAGCGACGGACAAGAAAATCGATTATGAGCTAAATTGTAAAGCATTGAAGCCGTGATTGAATTGATTTTACACAGTCGGTAGTTGAAATAAAATTAGAATCTGTCGGAGAAACGACAAACTTCAATCTAATACATTTTTACTAGGGAAATATATCCCGTGGAGGTGTTTAATTTATCTTTTCCCCCCATCCTCTTTCCATTCAAGATTAAACGGTGTTAAAATCAATTATTTGTTTAACGAAACTTCAATATATTTTAATTTAATTGACTAAATTAATCGTTTCTATTGATAGCTTTTTCTCTACGATATCATTTCCGTTGTTTTCCAGCATCTTTAACAGGATGCTGCTATCTCGTCCCGTATGTAGATAGGCGACTTTAACGCCGTTTTTCTTATTAAAAATACTGTAATTTTTAATTATTCCTCTTCCTAATGTTCTTTATAGATATAAAAATTGATTTTAACACACTTAACGAAACATTTTTTTACGATTTTAAACGAGAAAAATACACACGAACTGTTTGCTCCTCCGCATCACTTCGGTTTCAAACGGGACGAAAGATGAATTTTTAAAATCTCTCTTTTTTTATGTATATATAATTAAAATGATGTTGGAGATGTCACCTACGCTTGATAGACGGTCGTGGGTGTTACTTTTTAATCAATCTCGTAAAGGAGAACGAGGGGTGAGGTTATAAAGGTAACGAAATTGTTTCAATATCTTCATCCCCATCATTTCTGAATACGCACAATTACCCATTTATATTCGTCCGGTTCCCCTCCCGTTCTTTACAAATGGACTGTTCCCGTAATCGAAGCGAAATAACAACTGAAGGAAGCGACTGAGAAGAGAGGGGGGACGGAGGGAGGGGTGAACAGATAATGAGAAATACCGTAGCAACACATTCAACTCACGTAGTCCGACAGTCAGATCAATACTAGATTTTACAGCCGGATGTTGAGATGTATTGTGCCACATCGGGACAGAAGTTGCTATCTAATTGTTATCAGCATTGCTATAGACACCGGATTTTGATATTTTATTACTCCTTTGCAGAATTTTATAATGGGTTTTAATGCGCTATTTTAAGGAAAATTTCGATTTATCTTTGCCATTTTAACTCATTTTTCTTTTTAATTTTAATGTAAAAATTATTATTCTTACTTTTTTTTTTTTAAATAAATTGCCGATATTGCAATAATTGTTAGTATAGATGCTTCCATTCATCTTAAAGTTTTCGTTTTATATGAATTTTTTAAAAGGAATTTCTAGGTTTATCTTGTTTTATTTACAGTTTGTATCGTCTGAATTATTTAATTCGTTTGAAACGGGTTGTATAGTTTTATATATAAATATATATGATATGTGGTTTTATATAAAATAAATCCAGGTGAGATATCAACTGGAGAAATATTTAATGTTTGAATTAGCTGTAAAAGTAACGAGTAAAAGCTGTAAAAGTTCTTGTTCTGTGTAAGAATAGAAGGCTTATGGTTATAGTTTGCCTGCTAACTGATGTAAAGGCATCTCTGTTCTCCGAGTGTTTCTTTTAAATTTATTTTTTAGCATATTTTTACGAAAAAGTATTATGAATTTGCTTAGAAATAAAGAAAAAATTAATTCGAATTAGTTGCCACTGGGATTAAATGACCTAAATTTTAGCTAGAAAATGATTTTAATTAAATGGTCTCTGGTAATATGTGAGAGGAACAGGCGTAAACATAGTTGTAACTCTCGTTTTCAGTACCATTTAAATAACTTTTTAGAGTTAAAAGCCATTTTTTCCCAATGGGAATCTCTGTTTTTTTAGATAAAAAATTGTGTTGTATATTAAACGTTTCCTATAATTATATACAGTTAAGTAAGTAACTTTCGATAAAGTAAGTTCGAGTATGATGCCTTTAACTCAATAAAGATATGCTAATAATTAAGTTAAGTAAACGTAAATATTAATTGATACTCCTAACGTATTGCACTTGGAAGGGGGAAGTCATAAATATTTTTATTTCTAATTTAAGTGTCGAACTTCTCTCCCCCGTGGGCATCATTTCTGAACTTTTTACCTGCCACTATTTTTGTTCTATGTATTAAACCTGACTTTATCTTCCTTCAGGACATGTGACATCATGAAAACAGAAATCGAAGATAGCGACGAATGTCCGGCGCCCTTAAATTTGGTGCTTAGCAGCGAACAAACCAACACAACTTCTAGAAGAAGGAAAGTAGGAAGACCTCGTAAATTAATTCGGCCTACGATCCCCGTGAAAATCGAATCGTTCGAGCGTTCTGCTGATGGCCTACTGCCTTGTTCTGTATGTGGTAAAAGTTTTGTATCTCTTAAAAACTTCCTCAGCCATCAGAAAACTCATACCAACCAAAGACCCTATCAATGCCTCGATTGCGGGCGCAAATTTTCATTACGGAACACGTTAGTTTGTCATACTAGAGTGCATACTAAAGAGAAACCGTATACGTGTACAATGTGTCTCAGGAGTTTCACTCAACCCAGTACCTTAAAGGCTCATATAATCTATAAACATACCAGAAAATTTCCATATTTATGTGATGTGTGCGGGCACGGTTTCATTTCACCAGGACATAAAGTCGAGCATATGGCTCGTGTTCACGGACTCGGTTTGGCATATGCAGGATTTCAAGTTAAGAGAGAATCGACAGCAGAAACAGTCTGACGTTCCTTCTTTTTTTGTTGTGAATCTCAATTTTAAATTTTTAGTCCGTTATCGAGAAGTAGGAGATGCTCAATGTCTTATCGATTGCTCAATAACTGAACGAAAACAGATGGAAATGTTTTTGGGCTTTTCCATGTAAAGCATATTAAAAACTCGCATTTTTACTATAAAATTGTGTTATATTTATTTAAATATATATATTATAAAGGTGAATATAAAAAGAATTATTCATTATTTAAAAACACCGACTATTGAAAAAGATAAGATTTCAATTTTATAGATTAAATATAATAAAATAAAGCAAATGAATAATGCATAAAGCTGACAGGGCTTATAAAATTTAATTTTAGCGAATTTTTTTTGTTATATATATATATAAAATGAATACATTCTAACTTAGAAAGAATGCCGGATAGATAAAAGAGTCATTGAGGTGTTTTGTATCGTTAACATTAAAAAAATTCTATAAAAGTCATTTATTAAAGAATAAAAAACTACAAAATGTTCACCTGTAATTTAATTAATATTAATATATTCCATAAAATACTTTTAATATTTAAAATATTTTAGAAGTTACAATGATTTGCACAAATCTTTTTAGAGGAATTTAGAGAAGATATTTAGATGTCGCTTTTAAGCTTTTTACACGTTATAACATGTTATTAGAATAAAAGTTTTTATTTACATTTATTATCAATTAAAGAAATAAACTCGAAATTATATTTTGATTGAAGATAAAAAAAGAAAGAAAATTGTCAAGGAATATTTTAATATTCCTTGACAATTTATAATCATTAATGTCAGTGGAACACTTGGTAAAATTTACAGTATTTTAAGGTCATTCATTTATATAGGTACATATATCAAAATCAGAGTTTCCACATTTATAGAGCCAAATTGTTATATTGATATGCCTGAATTTTATCGTAGCTTTAGCCAAAGAATGCTATTGAGTTAGAGAGATTATAAAAGTTTCTGATTAGTGGACACTTACCAAAAGTTGTATTATTAAAAATGTAAAGGGAAGTGCAGAAAAGTAGATGGCAGGGAAATAATAAAAATTACGCGTCTAAATTATAAAATTTTTCTATGCTGGCTTCTAGAAAGACAATGTTTTTCAGAATTTCTAACATACAAAAAAAAAGAAAGAAAATATGTAAATCATTTCAAAAAAGCCGGAAAAGATCCATACTACCAACCAGATTTTCTGAAGCAATCCAGCCTTTAAAAGAGCCAATCTGGCAACCTGATACAAAGTACTTATAAGTAATGCCTACCGATTGGTTTTAGAATTTATCACAAAAAGTAAGATATTTAAGTATACAATTATATATATATAGTCCATATCTATTTAAAATATATGCACAGTATAAAGGAAGTTAATCTATAATATTCTAAGGAATTCTGAGGGCTTTTATGAAATTTTTCAAGCAGGAAATAATAATTTATCATTTTAAATATGAAGAAGAAAACTCGCAACTAATCAGTCGATTCGGACTTTTACTCTTCTAAGAAATTCGATTCTACTAACTACGAAGATAAGAGTCATACCTTTCACTTCGGATCAAATTTCTTTAATCGTTGTGTAAAGCCCTGGGCTGGGATGAAAAACATTATTTTAACCATATATCCAAACAAAAACGAATCTTGATCTTCGCGATTAATTAAAATTAAGGAAACTAAATTATAAAGGAAAAGGGTAAAAATAAAAAATATTTCAATATTGAAACCACGCGGTAAAAAAGGAGAAAAATTAGTAAATTAAATTTTTTTATAAGACAAGACGAACAAAAAGGGGAATGTTAGTTAAGGTACAAGGTTCGGTATCGAATTGTATTAATAAACAATCGTCTTTCTCGAGAACCGATCTTGTCCAATTTCACCTGGTAACAGAGAAAGACCAATCTGGGACCGAGAAAGGGATTAATAATCAATAAAGTGACGATTTGCGAGACGAAAAGATATTTAAGCCCAGGCTACAAAGACACTTGTTTCTTTGCCGTGTCGACCCGAGAGGCTATGTCCCTCGCTGGGGTGCTTCCCGCAAGATTTCATCTTCGTCCTTTGCCGATGTATCCTCCGAAAGTTATAGACCTTCGTTGAGAGAAACTTCGAAAATTCCGATTTTCATTCACCGGACAGCGTTTCCTATTCCAGAGCTGGACTTTGAATGTAACATCCGGTCAGCGATAGGAAACCACCCTCGTCGCTGGACTTTCCTCTTCTTCTTTGATGACTACGCGCCGAAGTATACAAGGACTTCAACCCTTCGTGACTATAGAACTTTTTATAAGTTAAATTGTCTAATAAACGGGTTGTGTTGTTTGAAAACGAGGCATTGATCTCTGATTCAACCGCTCCCACATGTCGTTGACTGTTACCGCTCGGCAGTCCAGACGGCAATGGAGACGATAACGATATCACATATAATCGTTATTTCGTTTTGAAATATTTTCCCCTTGGCCCCCTCACAGTTGTAAATATAGTTAAGATAACTGTAAGTTAATGGTGTGTTCAAATTAAAAATGTAATGCATTTATGTATCCAGGAAGGACTTAATTAAGGCAGTTCAGTAAAAGTTTTTAATTAAATTACTAATTACATCGATTTAGCTTAGCTTTGACGCTAGTGTATTTTTCATTTCTACAGGAAGATGTCATTTCAAGAATTTTATGAAGTATGAAAAGTGTTCAAAAACAAATAAATCAATGAGTTCAAGAAGGTTTTCCAAGGTTCCTCAAGAAAACTCTTTTCTCATGAATTTTCTCATGAAATAATGGTCTTTTTACATGACAGTAAATAAATACTGTAACTTGTGTTGATATATATTTACATGTTTTTTCTTATAACCAAAGTAGATATAATATTTTATTTAATACGTTAATTAACCAAATTCTTGAAATATTGGGGAATTTAATTTATTACATTACTGAATATGTGACAAGTGAAGAACTTTTATATTCTTTACAAGGATATCAAAGGAATTACACGAAACTCACTGATACAACGATTATTTTAGAAAAATTACATTTAATATTCTGTTTACAAATTGAATCCAGAAAACTATGCTTTCATTTCTATGATTTAGGCTGTGTACACATTAGGCGTTTTACGTTGCATTAAACGCGCGTCAGCAGCGTATACACCGCGCGTTAGCTTGGCGTTCGACGACCGTTTAGTGGAGCGTGAACACTGGCTCAGTTTGGAAATGGACGTGAAAGTAATTGCTTGTGTGTGCCTCCTAAATCGTCGCTATAAAAGACGATGGAGGAGGCACACATAAACATATATATATATATATATATATATTATTGATTACAAAATCAATTCGATAAGTTATATTTTTAGTAGTGTATGATTCGACGCCATTAATATGTTTTGCATTTATTTTCGTACAGTTTACTTTGAAAAAATCTATATTTAATTACTAAAATTGAATTGAAAATAGAATTTGAATCGAAGAGAGAAGNGAAATTTGACATTGATGAGTCGTTGTGTTTACAGCTGGATGACCTTGAGAACAGCTGGTGTTGGATTTCCCGGGACATTCTCATAAAACTTACAGGAGGCGAAGGGTTTATAGTAGGGCGAATACTAGCTGGCTGTATATTTTAAAATATTTTTCAATGTACAGTACAGTACTGTATTTATTTTGTGAAAAATAAAGAAATAATTTTTAACGATGCAATAGCGACAATTATTATTTAAAAAAAAATTGATAGGCTTAACATGGAGGAAAATTCAACGCGAAGTAGGTTAATAGCGATATACTAATATACTAATACACTAATTACGTTGTATACAATAATATACTACACTAATAATGGATTTTTTCATACTTTTCGGTTATCCGACTTTTCAATTATCCGACCAACCCCAGTCCCCAATCGAGTCGGATAATCGATGCTCAACTGTAATGTTAAAAAATTAACTGTTACTTTGACAGCATCATTTACAACTAAATTTAATGAATGAGAGAGATGCACCAGGTACAGAAAAAGCTCTAGAATTTATTTTCCTTACATTTACGATTTATGTATCCGTTTGTCATAAAAATTTGTCTTTCCACTTTTTTCCCGAGACTACAAATATTCGAGTACAAAGTAACCGGTTTCGATTTATTTCTACTTAAGAAGTAGTTAAATAATTAAGCGATTAGGGAATTGGGGACATAAACAAAACCCTGA